GACATTGTACTGAGTGAAGTATTTCAGTCACAAAAGGACAAATACTGCATGGTGCCACTGTTGTAAAACAGGACTGACCTTGGGGTTGGGGAGAGACTGAGATTATGGGTTCAATAATGTATACTGCATTATACAGATGAGGGAGAAAACTGTCTAAAGGGGATATGTGATCAGGTATTTTTGTCATGACAGGAGTCCAGGGAGAAGGCTGCACAGTGGAGTAGACCTGTGGGAGGGTTCGTAAAACAATCAAAAATTTTTCTTTTACTTTTCCAAGGGGGTAGTGTACTAGGGGGGAGGGTTGGGAGAAATTCAAAGTGTCCATAAATTTTTGCTGAAATTAATAATAAACTTAAATTAAAAAATTTTAAAAAAATATGTAAATTTTATGGGACAAGGTCTAGCTCATAAATATTAACTATGTATTCCTCACTCGATTCAAATAAGCTTGGAAGCAAGAGTGGCATCCACTTCTGTAATAGCTTGTCTCCAGAAACCCTATGAACCTGGAAAAAGGATGAAAGTCACAGTGTTGAGGACTTTTTTCATTCATTGGGTAGCTATGAGTTGCCTACGACTCGACGGCACTTAACAACAACAACATTCCTCACTCTATTCACAAAATTTAGAAATTAAAATTTTTCGTGTAACTCTGTTTTTTGCCTCTTTTTATTGGTTAGCATTTTAAAAAAAATTTCTATATAGCTGGGCCATAATGGAATTTCTATGTTCAGCTTTTGGAGGAAACACCAACTGCCATCCACAACGGTTCTTACCATTTTACAATTCCACTAACAGTGTATGAAAGTTCTTATCTCTCCACATCCTCACCAACCAATTTATTGCTTGCTGTCCTGTATTAATCTTTGCCACTGCTACGGGGGTGAAATGATATCTCATTGTATCTCTCTCATTCAAATGTCTTCCTCTGTGAAAAGTCCTTCCATGTCTTTTGCCAATTTTATAATTATCAGTCTTTTTCTTGTGGAGGCCCTACTGTAGGATTCTATAAATTATTGTTATGAGATCCTTGTCTGAGATGGTATTGCCAAATATTTTTCCCAGTCAGCAGGTTTTCTCTTCACCCTGCTTGAAACAGTTTTTGATGCACATAGTTATTTAATCTTAAGAAGGTGCTATTTATCAATTTTATCCTCTCCTGACTGTGTTTTCTATCTATATTATCAGTCTTTTTATACTATAGACCAAGCCTTCTAAGCATGTTCCCCCTTTTCTTACTTATGATCTTTATGGTTTGGGGTTTCAGCCCTAGGTCTCTGATCCACCTTGAGTTGATTTTTGTGTATGCGTGAGATGTGGGTCCTGTTTCAGCTTTCTGCAGGTAGTAGTTCAGTTTTGCCAGCACCGTTTGTCACCATTTGTTGAAGAGGCTGTCATATGACCATTTGATTGGCTTTGTTTCCTTGTCAAATATCAGTTGACCATAGATGGGTTAATTTCTGGGTTCACGATTCTGTTCCATTGGTCAATGTGCCAGTATGTACCAGTACCATGCTGTTTTGGTTATTACAGCTGTGTAGTAGGTTTTGAGATCAAAGAGTGTTGTGTCTCTCACTTCATTCTTGTTGTTCAGAAATGCTTTGCCTCTTTGAGGTCTCTTTCCTCTCCAAATAAACTTGCTAAGTGCCTTTTCTATTTCATTTAAAGTATCTGTAATGAGACTGCAGTAAACATGTAGATTGCTCTTGGTAGCATTGTCATTTTCACTGTTTATTCTTCCCAAACATGAAACAGGGAACATTTTTCCATTTTACTTAGGTCTTTTATTGTTTCTTGCAGAAGTATTTTGTAGTTTTCTTTGTAAAGGACTTCGTGGCTCTAGTTAGGTTTATTCCTAAGTATCTCAATTTCTGCTTGACTATGTAAATGGTATTGCTTTCTTACTTTTCATCTCTGAGTTTTCTTTGTTGTTATGTTTGTTAAGTGCCATCGAGCCAAGCAGGACTCATAGCGACCTTATGAACAAAAGACCTAAACTCTGTTCTGTAAATATAGTTTCTCTACTTTCACAGAGTTTCCAGAGGCATACTGTTTAGGAAGTGGATGCCACTCTCCTGCTTCTAAACCTATCTCAATCTGGGAGCTCCACCAACCACTGTCCACCATGGGTAACCACTATGACATGTGACACATCAGGGGCACAGAGTTCAGCATCACAGCAAGCCCACATTACCTCACAGAGAACATAACTGATATAAGGATATACAGTATTACAGAGGAGACACAGAATAAGCACAGTAGAGCAAGGGGACAGTACTGTGTAATGAATGCTGGAAGAGGGAAATGTGTAAAATGTTCAAATGCTGGTTTAAGGGTAAGTACTAAAAAAGCACTCTTTTGGCAAATGAAAGTCACAATCTCTACTATAAATATCTTTCCCAATGGAGTGAAGAGAGTCAGAAGGCAGACTGACATATATATTACACAATAAGCAGAAGCTGAAGACCTAGAAAGGACACCAGCAAGTACATTTCTTCATTTCTCTTAGAAATAATAAGAAGTGAAAGTAAGACAGCATTGAAAAACACATAATAAAACTTCATTCACAAGCAGGAGCTTTCCTCCCATTAACAATACATAAACCCCTATTGGGTTACCTCACCCAACAGTCTGGATTGGTATTTTTCATACAACAATTAGAGAAATCCCACTAACTTTTGTATATTGATCTTATCTCCTGTCATGGGTCTACTGTTGCTATTGTTTGGACTGCCATCAAGTCAATCTCAAATGCATAGTGACCACATCTGTACAGAGCTTAACTGCTCCATAAAGATTCCAAAACTGTGATCTTTCTCAAGCAGACCACTAGGCCAATCTTCCAAAGACTTCTCTGGGTGGGTTTGTTCCATCAACGTGTGGTTTAGTCATGCACCTAGAGACTCCTTATGTGAGTACAGCCCTAAGAACAAGTTTTTTTAAAAAAAATATGTTTATAGTGAAAGCAAAATTTATTGAATATTTGTAGTTTATCATATAGATTTTCAGTGTTAATATATTGTACAATTTTCTATCAAATGCAAATTATAAGTCAAACAAGGTATCAAGAACTATTTTATTTCTTTATTCTAGTGTGTTATGTTTTTAAAGACAGTTTTCTGGGATGATTTTTTTTTTTTAAATCTCAGGTCCAAAGCACAACAAACTTATGGCTAAAACTCAAGATCTACATCTAAAATCTAATTTATTTTCTTACATTAAGATTTATATGCTTCAATCTTTCTTAATTCCACTTCTTTGCTGAAAATGCTCCTCTATATAGCAGCTTAAATGTGCACTCACAGTATTTATCCACATTTAAATTCTAGTTATTTTATAAGTTACATCTAAAAACTCTTTTTAATAATTCTTCCTGAACCCCTTTACACAATAGCTTTGCCTTTTTATGAATCACTATAACGTTTTAAGGGAGCTCTGGTGGCCTTATGGGTAGAAGCTGCACTGCAAATACCAAAGGCATGCAGTTCAAATCCTGCTCCACAGGAGAAATATGGGCAATCTCCTCCAACGGGATTAAAACTGCCTCTGAAAATCTGCTGGAGGGTCAGCTATGGTTAGGTTCCAACTTGGCTGTATACTACAACAACAACCACCTTTTAGTTATATTGTTACGTACATTCTCTGGGTTTCCTTAAAGTTTGGTCCAATCTCTTACTTTTCACAGCATATTGCGGGTTTCCTTAAAGTTTGGTCCAATCTCTTACTTTTCACAGCATATTGCAGCCTCCTGACAAAAACTGAAAAATTATATTTTAACTGTGCAGTCAGAAAGACTCATTTATGACAGAAAACCTCATAAGCAGTTCCTTACTTCACCTCTACCTTGCATGTGAACTTCCGAGTTGTAAAACAGCCCAGTGGTAGATGGAATGTGCTCCAGGACTTAAGAACCATAAATGACATAGCTGAGCCTCTACATCTTGTGGTTCCTAACCTCTACACTATAACAGACAAAGTGCTAGTCTATAGGCCTTTTATTGTAAGAACCACCTCCCCTCTGTAACTTGATCTGTGCCACTACTAGAACCTCTACTCGGAATATTAATGCTTGTTAATTTTTGACTCATGTACTTTTAACTTGTTAAATTTGTGTCTTCTAGGCTGCAACATTTCCATGATACATCTTCAAGGATATGAACATATACAGCTAAGCACAACTGACAACAGTGCATCTAAATTCCAAAATCAATCTCCATAATAGTCTATGTGTTTCCTACTGCCAAAGGGGCCCTTTAGAGTAGTGAGAGAAGACCTTCACCCTGAAACCCACAGCGCCCCTTTTCAGCAGGAAGTAGCTAAGAGAATATGCCATCCCCTTTTCCTTACGAATCAGGGTGAAGTCTCTCTCAGGGAGGAGTGATAGGAAATGGCAAAGGACACACTGACAAAGGAGATTAATCAGAACTGGCTTTGAAAAGCACTGTGGCAATTGGACAATTAAAACAGACATTCGGCGGGGGAAGAACGAACTAAGGAGGAGGGTAGAGAAAAAACAGTGCAACAATGAATGAATGAGAACCCAAAATCTCCAAAATCTCTGTAAATGTTCATTAAAACTAATAAAATTTAATAATAATTTAAAAAAAAAGAGTAAGAGTAGCTTAATAAAGACTAAGAGAAAATAAAAAATTTAATAGAATTGTTATAAGAATTAATAAATTACCATACCTATAAAAGCATTATAAATAGGAAAACAAATTTAATCAACTATTATCATAGTAGATTTTTTCAAAAATCGCAACAATCCTACATAAGATAATCAGTAGATCCTAAGAATGACCAAATATTCATTATTATTAATTATACAAACATTTATCAGGCACTTTGGAAATATACTTTGTATATGCATGGGTGTGTGTTGGGGTGTGTGTGGCGTTGGGTGGGAGTGGTGTGGGGGGGGTATGTATTGTCTTTTTGAGAAAATTTACAATTTATATTGATATTCATTATTATATAATATAGAAAAAAATTTATAGTACCGTCTTTCTTGTCACTCTGGCTAATTTCAGCATGAGGAAATACTTTTTGCAAGACTGCAAGGATGTTGTTGAAACTTCTTTCCAGAAGTGGCCTTATGATAGGAGACAGTGCATGTCCTGAAGACATCACAGCACGCTGAGAAGCAGGCACAATATTCTGCATTGCATGGTAAAAATCTTGTGCACTGAGAACTATTGAAGAAACATCCAGCTGCAGTTTGTGACTGCTCGCGTAAATCTGGGGATAGCGCCTCCGTAGAGCAATCAGGGCAGCTTCAGTGCACAGGGCCTTGATATCAGCTCCACAGTAACCTAATGCACAAAAGGAAAAGAATAACAAAGGTAAGTTCATCCTTCCCACAACCAACCATGCTGGTCAGCTGAAGCAGTAGCTCATACTTAATTAACAATCACATGTTGGTTTATCAGCAAAATGAAAAATTACCTAATGAAATTAGCAAACTGAGGGGAAAATATCCAAGTAAGACTGAAAGGGTTTTGGATATTGTAGATTAATATAAACATGAACTAACAATATTAAAACAAAACAGGTCCTATATCATGAGACAATTTCCTCCAGGAACAGTTTCAAAAGGAAAAAAAAGTACTTTCAATCGTCCTTCAAAACTCTCAAACATAACCTTAGTTCTCATGACATTAAGTTTACATACACAGTATTTTCCAAGTACTTGTAAGAAGGGGTAGCATAAAGTCATGCACAGTCAGAAATTCCTATTAACTCTGAGCAATCTACTTCATAAATTAATAACCACCCTCTCTAAACTAGAACTCATGTGTATAATTCATCTGTGAAATTCCTAAAAGTAGTAAAGAAAAAATATTTTTCAGGTATTTTTATTGATTTTTCTAGAGCAACTTTACCTTCATATATATTTTTGTATCAAAAAACTAATTCTAAAAGTTGCATCAACACAAAGTTATTATCCAGTATTCCTGTTTAACAGTTAAATAATACATCAAAAATCCCTTATGCTTTTCAATCATTCTATTCATCTTACTGGAGGAATAAAGTGACAGTTGGCCCCCTGGCCTGATCACTCCTTGAGAAACTGTGTAACACCTAAAGCAGTAAGATTGAAAAAAAAAAAAAATCAGACCATGTAGGGAGTGTTGGTTTTTTTCCCCCTCGTCTTTTGTGTACCACCGAATTGGATCCAACTGGCACAGGAGGGGATTGTCCCTCCCTCTCCAGCAGAGAATCTGGTGAATTCAAACCATGCACCTTTGGAATTGCAGCGCAGCTTCTTGCCACTAGGTTACCAGAGCTCCCTATAAGGATCCAAGAGGGATGGGAGAGGGTTGAAGCAGAGGGATGAGTATGAGGGGATTAATCATGCAGTTGTACAATCTGATGGGTGGAGATGTGAGGGAAATTGAAAGAATTTGTTCTTGAAAACAATGTATTCGAATTTTGTAAATAAACTAGTAAAAAATTAAAAACAAACAACCCAGAAGAGACAATGGATACTGATATGGCTCTGTCCACTCTTGTTGTTGCTGTTAAGTGCCATCGAGTCGTCGAGCCGTAGGTGACTCATAGCGACCCTATTAACACAAGTCCTCAAGACTTATTTGACTTTCATCCTTTCTCCAGGTTCATTGGGTTTCCTGAGGCAAGTTATTATGGAAGTGGATGCTACTCTTCCTTCCAAGCTTGTTTTAGTCAGGGAGCTCCACCAAACACTGTCCACCAACACTAGCACTCCCTAAAGCCCCTATAAAAAGAAACTGCCCTTAACTGCCCACATGTCGTTCTGATTCTCTCCACATGCAGTCAGGTCTTGGTGTCTCTCAGTCCACACAATAAAAGGCCTGTTCGTTTCTTGGGACCTGTTTCTTCCTTTCTCTCTCGCCCTCAACTCTTTGTCTATTTAACACATACAAGTACACATTTTTAAAACCCATTCGTTGATAGGTCTTTGACCACAAGAAGAAAAACAAAAGCAAACAGTTCAAATTTAGCCATGTGGGGTTTTTATCACCTCTGAAAAGTCCACTTGGTCACCTTTACCAGTCATGCCAGAGAAGGAATTACTTAGACTAGACAGGAATGAGTAGTCCCTATGCTCTGCCAAGAACTGCATTAGATTTCTCGCTATATATTTCATAATAAACTTGTGGAAAACTTAACCACAGAAAAGAATAAAAATGGTAATTAGGTAAGAAAACCACTAAAAGAAGTAGCTCAAGACTAATTTGCAGGAAAATATAAAAACCAAAATGTTAAATGATGTCAAGAAACAAAATCATATGAAACAAAATACAAGTCACACACAAAGTCTGTAATTAATTATATTCCATTTACTAGTAGAGTGTATGATCCTATTAGCAATCCTTCCCCCCAATAGCACTAAAGACCTTCTAACATATCATATCCTATCATCATTGTCTGTCTCCCCCTACTAAGAATGTGAGCCCTGTGAAAGTTCTGCTTTGTTCACTAAATGTAGAAACCAGTTTACAACGCAGAGGAGATACATTATGACAAACCACAATTAATATCTTTCTGTTGTTACTGGCTTTCCCATCTTATCCTTAGTAATATGTACTACATAAAATTTTAAAATAAATGTTTGTATGTAATATTTCTAACCTTCAACAATGATAATTAGGTTTCTAAAGCCACTGATTACTAATTACTAAGGCATTACTAATGATTTTTTTTTTAAAAAAAAGGTCTTTGACTTATGTCAGAATCATCTTAATGTCAGAATCTATTTTAAAATAGTCATCAGAAAAGAACCCAAATGTAAGTCAAGAACTACCTATAAGGGAGCTCTGGTGCCTAGTGGCAAGAAGCTGCACTGCAATCCCAGAGACAGGCAGTTCAAATCCACCAGATGCTCTGCGGAGAAGAAGGGGCAATCTCCTCCTGTACCAGTCAGATCTAATTTGATGGTACACACACACAATATAATAAAAAATTACAAAAAAAAAAAAAGAACTACCTATAATATATCTCAAACACTTAGAACAGTGCCAGTATATCTAGCAAATATATGTCTAGTAGAAGAATGCATGAGCAGAGAAGAGTCTCTCAAAGGTTAGTCTGGAAAGGTGAAACAGACTACACTGCATTGCTGTTGTGTACAATCAAGTCAGAACAGACCCATAGCTGACCCTCTAGCAGGTTTTCTTTCAGAGGCAGTTAATCACATGAGAGAAGACTACCCATCCTTCTCCAATGAAGCAGCTGGTGGCCTTGAACCACATGCCTTCAGGATAGTAGCTCAGCTTCCTGCCACTATGCCACCAGAGCTCTCTACTATGCATTACTAAGTGGATAATTCTATCTATTGGGCTTATATTAATTCTATTTTTAAGAGACCTAAGTTTTTATTATTAAACTAATGTATTCATTGTGAATAAAATTATCAATGATGACTAAAATTACAGAAAAATATTAAATTTAATAAATAAGATTTATTCAGAGTTAAGGAAAAGCCTAATATTAACCATTAAAAATTTCATTGAGAAAATTACAAACTAATTGCAGTAGCACTGTCCCATTACAAAAGTATATTTCTTCAGATTAACCATATTTACTACCAGTTCTCATTTCATTTTACATTTATGGGGTACACTGGTTCAGCAACATAACAAGTGCCAGCAGTCCAACATTAAAACAAGCTAGAAAATAATAATGGGTATGATTAAGACACGTGAATTCCGTCTGTATCAGAAGAAGTGAAAAATAATAAACACTAAGGTTTCACTCAAACTATAATAAAATTTAAAGTGACAACAAAAATACCTCTATAATCTTTTAAGCAATGCAATTACATTTTTGTCTCCTCCTTTAAAAGTATATACATATATATATATATAGTTATTGAACAGCCCAAATAGTTGTATTTCAAGTGCAAAAACATAACTTTTTTAAAATGTTCAGAAAAATTTAGGACAAAATATATTTTTTACTTTTTCTAAATGTGTCTCAAGTAATTTAAAAGTTTATCAATAATTACAGATGTCTTTTTTTAAATAAATTTTCACATGGATCACAATCAAAAGATTAGTAAGATAAAACATCTCTTTAACAACTGTATTATATTCTTTAGCAACTGTATCAAAGTTGTTAATGAGTGAGAATTACAGATTTATATCTGTTATTCTCAATGATGAATAACCACCAGAAATAAACAATGCAACCTAAGCAAAAATGCAAACACTCAAAGCCCTATGACGATGCTGATCAGAAGATACGGAGATTTTTGTCAAAACTTTACAAGTTATTTCAACTTTTGTTGGAATCTGGAGCAGACTCACTCTGAAACAGAATTAAAAGCCCATCATAATTATAGCTAATCTTTTTGAAAGAACTGAAAATTCACTAGATATTAGAGCAGAAAAAAACAAGATTATAATAAAATTGTATTTATAAATAGATTATTAAGTCTCAGTATCTTTATATATCTTCATACATTAGCCCTCTAAGTGAAAATGGAATACAGAATTATGTGTCATTTCAGCTCTACATAAGCCTAAATTAAGCTTCTCAGTCTGTGTAAATGTTTTGGATACCAACATATATCATTGCATCAATATATGTTGTTGAGGAAATTTTTCACTTTTTGAGAATCATAAATAGTATGTCTGCAAAACCGCTAAGTGTTGGGAATTTTTTTAAAAAACAAAGTTACCAAAATTTATAACCTCTAAAAAGTGGTTCATTATCTTCGAAACAATTAATAAAGAGTGCACACTTTTTTATTCAGTATCAATTTCATTGAAATGAACCCATATGCATTAAAACATGTTTGGGATTTCTAAAATAGTTACTTAATAACAGATTTAAATTTCATTACTACTTAACTCTTATTTGAAGAACCACATTTGATCTTTTTTATGTTTCATACTAACTGGTTTCTTAAGTGGAACAAAAATCACAATCAAAATCATAAGTATTTAAATAAGAATGGATTTTTATGTTATTCTCCAGAAGAAAAAAAAATGTTATATAAGCAAGTTCTACATCCCTCTACAAAAATGACGAAATGAGTTTTTTAGTCCTGTAAAAATTAAGTCTTAAGAATTTGAAAACTTAAGGTGATTATTAGCTAAATAAATCATTTGGAAAAATCATAAGTATTGGCATTTGGCAATACAAAAGGAATTAAAATTCTAACATTTAGGAAGAAGAATCCATTGACGTGTATATTTCAAATGGCAAAAGGGTAATAGTAATTTTAAAATATCTTTTAGGGAATTTCCAAAACTATTCCTTATTTCAGGTAAGAACTATTCTGTGATAAATTCACAGAAGATGCTATAAAAATTTCCTAGTCTGGTATAACAATAAGATCATAAAAATAGTCGGAGACAAAAAGGGTCAATTTCAAAAAGGTAAAATACTGGAATTTGTACCAAATACCACCCTCTCCCATTAAGCAGCATAGGCTTTGCAAAGGTTAAGCCAAATTTACATGAAATGGGTTTGGCGCATGCTCTTTTATACCAGGCAAAGCTTAAACTGGAGTAGTACTGGAGAGATTTACGTTTTCTCCTCACCAGAAGTTGTCGAGGTCTTTGTGGTTCAAAAGCTGAGGGATGCTGCTTCGGAGGTGGAGGTCCCTGTGGATGAAGAGGATAATTCGGATGTAGCTAACTGAATGGACTAATGTTCTATTTAAATTGTAATAATTTGATGGTGGATCACAATGCTTTTTTAACCTATTCTTTTTGGTTTTGGTAACTTTATAAAATTTTCCCAAGTAGATGGTTGTTAGTGAATTTATTTGGGGGATTTCTTTATAATGCTTAAAGCTGGAGGAAAGAGACTTATATTTATAGTTCTGAGGGAATACAAGGAAAATGGACAAAAGAGAGAAAAATAAAGAAAAATGTCCAGGTGTACATTCAGTTGCTTACTATTGTATTCATTTTTATTTCAGACCTAATGAGAGCCAAAGTGTAGGATTCCATCTCCTGTGCATAATTATCTGTAGGTAAAACACTCTCACCATGCCCTTTTAGGACAGAAGTGTTCATTCATTCTGCGGAGAGTTTTCCAACTATAAAGTTCACATTATATCAGAAAGTTAGCTCATGCTGTTGCTGCTTTAGGAAATATTAGCAGATGCCCTAAGTATTATCTTGGAAGGACCCTACTATCTAACTCCCTTCTAGATCACATGCATGAAGATGAGTTCACTGTATAATCTGTAAAGTACAAGGACGATTCTCTCTCATATTTAACCCTACTTTTTTCTTAGTAAAATTTCTGAGAGGAGAAAATTCCTAAGAGGAGATATCGTATAGTACATAAACATCTTTCAGTTATATTATGGAAACCAAGTTATTCAATAAAAGGCACATTACTACTGAGCTTCGTTAACCAAACATCTAATGGCAGCTAAAATTCTAACATATTCAAACTTCAGAGTTTGAAATATTCATACTTCAAGTGAAGTGGTAATTTCTAAAGAAAAATGCAGATTAATCTGCATAATCAAAAACATAATTATATGCATCCAAATTCCAAACATAAGGATAAAAAGGCTGAACAGAGCAATGACAAGGACTCAAATAATAATACTTACCAACACATTTTTCTGCCAATTCACCTAAAAAAGCATCTGATAATTTTGGATTCCAGTCCCTGGTATGGATCTGTAAAATATGTTTTCTTGCCTAAGAAGAAAAGTATAAATAAGTATCAATCATTCAAATATATTAGCTGGTGAAATTTTTACTATCTGTACTCCAAATGAAAGATGACAGAGTGCAGAAATTATCGAACAATATCATTGACATCACATACAAGCAAGACTCTGCTGAAGCTATCCAAAAATGACTGGTACAGAACATCAATGGAGAACAGCCAGAAGTACACACTGGGTTTAGAAGAAGCAGTGTTACTAGGGATATTATAGTTAATACTAGATGGATCTTGGCTAAAAGCAGAGAGTACCAGAGGAATGTCTGTGTTTCATTGACTATGCAAAGACATTTAACTGTGTGGACCACAACAAAGTGTGGCTGACCCTGAGAAGAATGGGAACCCCAGAACACTTGATTGTGCTTATACGAAACCTATACTTGGACCAGGAGGCAGTGGTCAGAACAGAGCAAGGAAACACTGCATGGTTCAAAATTGGGAAGGGTGTGTGTCAAGGATGTGTCCTATCTCTGTACCTCTTTTCAGTCTATATGCAGAACAGATTATCTGGGAGGCTGCACTGTATGAAGAGAAATGTGGCATCAGGATTAGAAGACGACTCATCAACAATCTGCATTATGCAGATGAAACAATCCTCTTGCTGAAACTAAGGAAGAACTGAAATGCCTGCTGCAGAAGCTCCAATATCAAGTTCAACATCAAGAAAAAAAGATTCCCTCTACAGGGCCAAATGGTAGCATCATGATAAATGGTGAAGTGATTGAGATTGGTTAACAGTTTTAATTTGCTTACTCCACAATCAACACTCTTGGTACCAGCAGCCCAGAAATTAAAAGATAAATTGCACTCTTTCTCTTGGGCTTGGATCAGGCAGTAGCCAGGTTCTATGGCTCAGCCATGGCCAAAATCAAGGCTCGGGACCTTTGCGGCAAGAAGAAGGAGGAGCTGTTAAAACAGCTGGACTATCTGAAAGTGGAGCTTTCCTAGCTGTGCATCGCCAAAGTGACAGGCAGTGCGGCTTCTAAGATCTCCAAAATTCAAGTTGTCAAAAAAAAATCCATTGCTCGTGTTTCTCACTGTTATTAACCAGATTCAGAAGGAGAACCTCAGAAAATACTATAAGGGCAAGACATACAAACCCCTGGATCTGCAGCACAAGGAAACATGTGCCATGCACCGAAGGCTCAAGCACAAGGAAAACCTGAAGACCAAGAAGCAGCAGCGAAAAGAGCGCCTTTACCCCCTGTACTGCGGAAATACGCAGTCAAGGCATGAACTTCTTAAATATATAAGTAAAGCCCAAAACTGGAAAAAAAAAGATTAATTGCATTGGGAAAGTCTGTTTTCAACATCTAGAGTGTTGATTGTGGAGTCAAGCAAATTAAACTGTTAACCAATCTCTTCACCATTTATCATGATGCTGCCATGTGGCCCTGTAGAGAGAATCTTTTTTTCTTGATTTTTGAACTTGATATTGGAACTTCTGCAGCAAGCACTTCAATTCTTCCTCGGTTTCAGCAAGAGGATTGCTTCATCTGCATAATGCAGTTAGTTGATGAGTCTTCTTCTAATCCTGATTAGATTTTCTGGAGAGACCTCTCCAAAGTACTGAAGAGCAACAATGTCAGTCTGGAGACTAAAGTATGCCTGACACAGACCATAGTCTTTGCAATTACTTGCTATGTATCAGAAAGCTGGACAATGACTACTAGAAGGAGAATTGATGTCTTTGAGCTGTAGTGCTGGAGAAGAGTACTTAATATATCATGGATGGCTAGAAGAACAAACAGTTTATCCCTGAAGAGGCTGAGACCAGGTTGCTCCTTGGAGGCAAGGATTCTGAAGCTCCATCTGACATAATTTGGACATGTCGCAAGGCGGGACCAGTCCCTAGAGAGGGACGTCATGCTTAAGACGGTGGAGGGACAGCACAAGAGAGGAAGACCCTTGATGAGATGGATTGATTCAATGACTGAAATAATGGGTGTAGGTATGTCAGAGAGAGTAAGATTGGCACAAGATAGAGCAGGGTTTGGAGCTATTGTACCATAGGGCCACTGAGTCATAGGTGACTCGACAGCAAATAACAACAACATACTCCCAGATGAGTAATTTTTTTCTTATCATCCACCAAAGGGTGAGCTAAGAGTTGGTTCTGACTTAAATAGATGTTCGAAGGGGGGAAAAGTTTTTATTAAAGGAAATTACCTGAGTAAGGGACACCTTATACATCAAACGGGGGGGGGGGGGAATTTAAACATTGTGGCACGCATATTTACCTTGCTTCCATATAATTCTATAAAATATGTAGTAAAGATTTTGTCTCTATTTCTTTTTTTTTCAGACATTTAAGTTTCTAAGTATGAAAAAAGCTTGACTAGCAGAACATTAAGAAACTGATCTAATTCTAAAACTCAAAATGAAACTTGATTCTAAAATTTTTACCATTTAAAATCATATGAACTAAAAATTTTAACATGTTATGTTGTTGGATACCATCAAGTCAGAACTGACCCATACCTAACCCACTAGCAGGTTTTCAGAGGAAGTTAATCACACAGGAGGAAACTGCCCATCTTTCTCCCACAATGTGTTTTACAACATAATTTTACTAAGCTTCTTATTACAGGAGCAGCTTCAAAAAAAGGTAGATGATTAAGAGGATGGACTGACAAAGTCCATCCATTGCAACAATGGACCATTGCAACAATGATTTATCATTCTAACAACTGTGATGCTGGCACAAAACAGGACAAAATTCTTCTGAGGAAATGAGAAAATGGGGTCACTAAGAGCTGGAGCCAACTGGATCAATGGCAAAAGCAACAACAGGTAGTATTCATAAGTTCTACACAGGTTTATGTTTAGATTCCACTGAATTCTTGGCTCTATCATATACATAAAGTACCTAAACAATACATGAAGTCATTTAAAGCTTTTAAAAATGTTTTTGAAACAGTATTCAAGTACAAAAACGTAATGCATATTATGTTTCCTAATTTAACTGATGCTTTCATATTTAATAATTTAGAATATTATTTCAGAACATGCTAAAATTCACTGAACACCCAAAAGTTTAAACAATTTTACCTTGAATTTTTTTCCTTAAAATGACATTCTCTCCCAAATTCTATACAGTATAATCGAACTTCAAACAACTTTGTTGCTATAAACTGAGTTTTCTTTTCCTTCCACAGTAAAAGCAACACTGAATAATACAAAGCCATATTCAGCTACCATCAAGAAATAGATCATATTTTGTTTTCAAGATTGCCATCTTTAAGTAGAAACACAATACTTTTTGAAACTTGAAAACACTGTTCTCTCAATCCTATCTAAGCATCTGCATGCCATTAAAAGAAAGCAAACTATAACCAATAAGATAATATGATGATGGAATCAAGATAAGGGAAATGGGAAGGGTCAGTGAAGGAGAGGAAGACCTTCAATGAGATGGACTGACACAAACAACAATGAGCTTAAGAATAAAAGAGATTATGAGGATGGCAAAGCATCGGCCAGGATTTTGTTCTTTTGTAAATATAGTCGCTATATAAGTCTAACTCAACCCCATGGTACCAAACAACAACAATATATTCTTTCCCCACTATCCCAATAAGTCTCCTTTATCATATCAGAAAGATAGAAAATAAAGAAAACAGTTAAATTAACCAAAGTTTCATTACACATTTTACTCTATATGATACATAAAACAAGTGATACAGCTTTCAGGAAAAAAATGGTGAACAAAGTGCTATTGGCCAAGTGGCAAGGAATTGTACTGCCAACCCAAAGGCACAAACCCACAGTTCAAATCTACCAGCTGCTCAGCAAGAAAAAGGCAATCTTTCATGCAATTTACAGCCTCTAAAACACACTGAAGGGTCCACTAGGAGTTAGTTCCAACTTGACAACAAACGATGATGATGATGATGATGATGATGATGATGATGATGATGATGATAGGTGAAACAATTTCCTAACAAGAGTCAAAGGCAAATTCAAACCCTTCAATTTTTTAGTTTAACAAGTATGTTACTGCTTTCTGCTGTCAAGTAGAAACCAAATTATAGCTGACCCTCCAGCGGATTTTTCAGAGGCTGTAAATTACATGGAAAGAAATGGCCATCTTTCTCCCGTGTAAGAAGGAGTAAGTGAATTTGAACTCCTTGTTTGGGATTAGCAGGGCAATTAATTCCTTACAAATTAGACCACTGTGGTGGTTGTTATGTGCCATCAAGTCACAATCAGCATATACCTGACCTTCCAGTGGGTTTTCAGATACTAACAACAGTAACGATGATGATGGTGACATGATACAAAATATTAAGTAATATTACTGAATTAAAAAAGCAATGTGCACTTTTATGATGATAAAGAACTAACAAAATCATTAGGACGGTAATAGGAAAAAATTAGAAATAACAAGATACAACATACAAACCAAAAGGTACATAAGCAAGGTCTTAAAAGTTACTTTTTAATCTTCTGATCAGCTCAAACAGCAAAGATCATGATGTTCCAAAGGCTAAAGCAAAGCGCCACTTTAATCATTGCTACCCTGCCCTTGACACTACCCTTGGCCATTCATTTTGTCTTTTTCCAAGTAGCTTAGTTCATACCTTCTCTATCTTCATACATTGCTAATGACTTTGCTTCTTCATTCAATGAGAAAACGGAAGAAAAGGTCCAAAGATTACCCACATGAAATATGTATGTATATCTATATACTCTGTGTTGTTCCGATTATCACAGATGGATTATCCAGTTCCTATATAAAGTCAATCTCCCCACTCATTATCCCTCTTTGTTTACTAAATATATACATTGGTCTGATAAACCTTTATTCTCCATTTCTTTTATCTGTATTTCCTTCTTCCACTAGATCATTTTGGGAAAATATTTCTCCTCTTTTAAAAACAATAAAGAACATTCTCCTGTCTCTATCCCCCACCTTTTTCTTTTTCTTAACAAGAAAACTATTTTAAACTAATCCTACACTGAATGTCTC